GAAGAGCACATATCAGAGTGAAGTGAAGAGTTAGCTGGCTCTCAAGGCAGGTGACGTCAAAGATGGGTATTTATTACACAAATACTTGTTAATTTAAGGGCTAATTATCTGGCAGGCACTGTCCTCTGCCTTGAGAATACAGTAGTGAAAAAAATGTCAAAATCTCTGGGCCTCATGGAGCTTCCATTCCATCTGTGGGGAGGGCAAACAGACAATAAACAAGGTCATATAAAGAGAAACTGTGATGAACATACTAAGCAGAGGAGAAAAAAGCAAGTAAAAATCAACAAAATGTGGTTATTTCATATTTAAGCTTCACATCGGTCTGGACATATCCTTAGATTCTGGGTAAGAAAGAAAATGCGTTTGGGATGAGGACACAGTTTCGGTAAATGTAAGAACTGGCTGGATACATGAAGATGGAAAAATTCATTCCAAAGTAATGGTTCTAATAGAAAGTGAAATGAGAAAAACTGCAGGGGTAACAAGATTTTGGATGAACACACTACAAATGATAACATATTGTAAATGTACTTTAGCCACTTTAGGTAGATTGATAATGTCTATAGATAATATGTAACTGGATTAATGATGAAGATAAAAAAAATAAGGTCACAAGAGTGAGATGGAAATACGTGATACTTTGCTTACCAAGGTATTAGAGAGTTTGGACTTAAGACTCAGCAAATGTATATTATTTCCTTTTCTCCAAAAAGTTAACTTCAAAAAATTTTAGTTTTAAGAAGGTTAGAAAGCATAAAACTGCATATGGTAATATGCGTACTAGCAACTTTAGAAAGGCACACTAAAAGAAAAAAAAATATGATAAAAGATATCAATGACTCTACGGCCTATAGCTATACACAGAAAGATATCTTAAAAGGGTTGATGGTCTTGTAAACATATAATTGTAATTGTGTAATATAGATAATATTTAAAAGAAAGAAAGGCAAGTGGCAACTAAAGAAACCAAAGTGATTGCATAAGAATCTCTCTTACGTATTCTGATTTTTAGACATTAAAAGAAAGTATGATCAAGGGTTTATATACCCTCGAGATGTATATGTGTATAAGTGTATGTACATGTATATGTGTATATGTGTGTGTATGTGTATATATATATATAAACATATCGTGGTCTTGATCAATTGGTTAATAAATTCACATCAGATTGAAAGAACGGAACTAGGATCCCATGATTGAAGTTGCAGAGTGGGAAATTGCAACAAAATACCAAGGTATTAAATAACAATAGAACTATCCAGAGATTTAATGGAAGGGTCTGCTTATCACCCAAAGGAGGGTTTAAGCAGATGCTGAGTTACCAAATGGAGGGAATATTGTAGAATGACCAACAACAATATGTGGATGGTTGAACTAAAAATTTCCCAGTTCCTTTCAATCCTAAAAGACTATGATATTCAATCCTATTTCTTGTGGGATTTCTTTTCAACCAACATTCATCCCACAGATCATTCAAGTCGCTAAGAATTTTTTGTAGTTTGTTCAATTAATTGATTGTTTCAATTGTGACCCACATCTGGGTATTCTTGACTTCTCAGCCACAACATTCATGACTTTCCTCTCCCTCTTTGCTTAATAAGTGGCACTTAACTGCCATTCTTTCTTTTGCTGGCTAGTTAACATATCTAATAGAATTAAGTTGCAGTTGGATGCCACCAACTTTTACTTGGTACTCTTGTGATTAAAATGAGTACTCCATTACTATATTAATTTTCAATTTTCAAATATAGAACTAATTTACTTAGAATCAGCACTTGAATCAAGAAAAGAATTTTGCCTCAGCAGAGTGACTGGATTTGATAGATCTTCTAGACTAATCCATGTATATTGAACCACAAAGATATACCAACCAACCAACAACAGCCACAGCAACAATATGTAATTCGGTTATACTTATCTTGGGAGAATGAAGTTTCAAACTTCTCTCTTCAACTCGTTCCTACATTTATTAACTCTCATTGCCAGGAAATTATTGTTTATATCTATCCTAAGTCTTTCACATTGTAGTATGAACTCATTTCCTTTTTCTCGATTCTCTGCAATCAGGTATCTCAATAGCAGAGTGATTTTATTTTCCACAAAGTGAGAAACAGAATAAGGTCATATCAACCATACAGATCATGTATAATATTGGTCAGAATGATGGACTCCAAGAAGCATCATAAGACAGGTTGGCAGCTACACTTGCTGTGCTGAAAACACAATTATTTTGATAACAATAACACACCCAGTTTGCTCAAATAAAAGATGTTAACAACCACATATTTGCATGTATTGGATGGCAACAGTTATAATGAAAGTGAAATACATTTTGTGCAGATCAATAATATTCCCCTAACAATTTACACATCATTTACTACTTCTTATATAGTATGGCAAGTGGTTTTTGGTATTCACTGCAGAGATAGATACAATGGTAATGTACTAGTGAAAACATAAAATTGATTTTGTTTTTACTACTGTAACATAAGAGGATTACTAATTATTTCACACTTTTCAAGTACATACAACTTAATCTGATGTGTAGTATTCAGGACTGCTAAAATCTGCAACTAATTAAGTAATTTGGAATTTCTCTGAACAATTATGAATTACTGCATGGAGATAGAGTATGTTACCTTACAAAGATTATCTTGATACGATAATTACAACTTCATCTTTCTATTTATTTCAATGACATACAAATAGCTTACATGGTTGAAGAAAAGATCGTCTTCTATTTTAATCATAAGAAGGTAAAATTGTGATTAAAATAAAAAAGATATGCTAAAAATAAAAATAAATACCAAGACTTCTATGGACTCTTTTTCATTATTCCCGGGAATGTGTTGACATTTACATTTTGGCCAGCTGAGGTTCAAATTAAATAGCTCCGTAGGTGACAGAAACCCTGAGGCCTGTGTGGATCCTGAGGACAAAGGTGATTGTTTCAATTATTTCCCTTGAATGGCTTATCCAGCCTTGGCCTCAGCAAGGGGTAAGGTATTGGGAGCCTGATGCATGCAGCCATGTAATTATGCATTTAAGTCTATTTTCTTAATTAATTTAAATATGCTTGAGAAGCTTACATGGCTTGAATTCAAAATTCCCGTGGCCTGGTCACTGGATAGAATCAAGGCTCCCTAAAGTGAGAGAGTTGATCACATCTTTCATGAGTTTTGAAAGATGCCTTTTGGTACAGGAAATTGAATGCTCAAAATTTCAATAGTTGCGGAAAATTATACTCTTCAGCATTTTTAAAATGTTTTTTTTAGTAAAGAAAAATGAGGTTGAAAAAGTTGCTGTCAGCAACTGCTAGTTTGGCTGATAGTTACGACGACATAAAAGAATCTGTAGGGGTATCCATGTTGCCCTACTATGTGATCAATGAATCATTAATGAAGCTCAGACAATTGGGGAAGATAGGAGCAGAGCTCAGGAGAACAGAAAGACTGGGGTGAAATTAGTGACATTTGGGCCAAAACATTCCCAAGTGTTTGTGCATGTGTGTGGGGCACGGGGACTGAGCCAACTCTTGGGACAAAGGAATGATTCAAGGGTATTACCAGAGTCTCATCAAGCAGTAATTTGCTTGCTAGCCCCCATCTTCCTTCCAGCTGTCCACAGGCTCACAGGTCTTGATCTGTGACCCTGAATGTGTATCCATCTCTAGGATGCAGCTATTTTCTCTAATCCTGGAACATATTGAGTTCTACCCATCTTTTCTTTGTCTTTCATTTCTTTTTTTTGATAAATACCCTTCAAAATCTGCACTGTATTGGAAAAAATGGAACACTTGCTCAGCTCATTTTTCTCCAGGAGCATATGCTGTTTTATCATGATTTACACAGTTATAGTTTTTCCTCTCTGGAAGGTTAAGCCACCTGCCCTCCCAGGCTCCTTCTGCACACAACTGCAGTACCCTACACTATGGACAGACTCTGGGTTCATTTTCCCTTTTGAGATTCTCTTTCGAGTTAGAATCAGACGTTAGTGAAGTCAGAAAAAAACTACTCTTGCTAAATCAATACATAGCAGAGAATTTTTTTTGGTTTTTTTTTTGTTTTTTTTTTTAAAGCAGCCTGCTATAGGAAGATCAGTGAAGTTAAACAGCCAGCCTTACACTCGCCCCTAAGGATGCCGAGTTCTAAAGAGTAACAGCAGTCTGGTGAGCAAGTGAAAGATACCTGCATGGATGTGAAGATATCAGAGGTCTCTAAGCAAAGGCAGAATGGTTTAAAGGCAGAGTAGAGAAATTTAAGAATTTAGTCAGAAAATATAAAAGGAGCTAAACTGGACTTTGCTGAAGCAGCTAATTTTTCCCAGAGAAGTCATACTCAAAGGTTTATTATACACAGTCAATAAACTGAAGCAAAATTCATCAATGAATTACACAATTATTTTACTATTAAGTTATTAATGTTCATAAAAGAGTGATTTAATTTCTGGTTTATCTTGTATTTACCATTTTTGTGTTCCAAAAGAATGAGATCACCATTTGATAGCAATTATAGGCATTGGTCCATGCAGCCCAGGAGAAATTCCAGGGTTTAGATTTGATCATGCAACATGTTACACAGAAAGCAGATATAGAGAAATACAGAGGTAAATACCCTGTACAAAGTATTTCAAAGGTAATTATGATTTCTAATATTAATTTTAATGTGAAATATAATGTCTAAAAGCTGATTCATTTCTTAGAATCCCTGGGATAGCAAGCAATAATTCATACTTATTGGTTACAAGTTTTCTAACTTTCTAATGAATTAATGTGCTGTTCTGTCTTATAATCTAAATTTTCTACACTTAAATGGCAGGTATCATATGTGTGTCATGAATAAACATATTGAATGCAGTCTTAAAATAAGACAGTCTTTGGAATTTAAAGACACATACTTATAAAGATTGAGATTAATAATTTTCAATTAAAAAAAATTAACAGAACTCTATTGTCTTGGAACCAAAAGCAATAGATGTAAAATCATGGTGGTACTTACCACAGTGAAATTCATAACTTTCAATATCCATATTGTCATGGCTAAGTTAACTATCATGGTAACCAACAGCAGAAGGACAAAGAAGTATAAGCACCTCTTTCGCCATCCATAAATTCCCACTGGGTACAGTTGTGCATTCTCAGCCCTTGGCAAATTATTCTGTTGTGTTGCTAGTATGTATTGTTCTCGTGTCATCTGGAACAAAAAAAAAGAAAGAAACAAAAGAAGTATTCAAAAATAAAACCAACGATTTTTTTTTAAATGGAAAGACACAACATACTTAAAATAATGGGTAGTGAGTGCTCAAATAATTATTGCTGTGTAATTAAAATTAATTATTAGTTAAATTAATTAAAATATTACAAAATCCTTAAATCATTATCATCAATGTTGCTTTTTAGAGCTGTTTAACTGATTGTTATATCTATAAAATGTATGTTATTTCCAGCCAGCTTTGCCCAGTAGGAACAGTAGGTTCTTCTCTGGAGCTCTGAAGACTATCAGCTCTACTTCTAGCTACCTGTAACCCAACAACTCTACCCACATCCAAGCGACTCTTGGAAGAGGCATAACCTGGCCTTTGGGGTAGACAGAGACCAACTGTATAACAAGGTTTTTCTGTGCCTTTATCTAAAAATGCAGGATGTAAGTTGCTCAGCACACATGTTTTAGTAAAATGTCATTGTATCTGCAAGAACTTATGGAAAGAAAATACACTTTTCTTTAGAATTATATAGATGTAGCTATTTAATTAAAACTTTTATTTATAACTTTGTTGATTATTTTAGTTGTACTTCAATGGGTTATCAGAAAAAAATTGATTTTTAAATAAACACAGCAATAGACTACACTATCTTATAGTATAATGATATAAGCAGAAATCAGTCAGCAGAACAGAAATAATGCTGAATAATACCAAAATAAAAACAACATTAATAAAGAATTAAAATTACCTAAGTAATATAAAATATATATAATATAATACACGTAATATAAAAGTATTAAATTATGGTGTTCATTGACCCAATACTACTCTAAAAAAATGTTGAACTATGTACCGAGAAATGCAAAAAAAAAAAAAAAAA